ATATATATATATATATAAAAGCCCTGACTCTAGCCTTTCATCCTGTCAGGTTGAGGCTGTGCTGCAGCTCCCGGTGGATCCGGATACGATCATCGAGGCGGACTCTGAGACGACCGCTCTGATGTGCGCGTCTGAGAGCGGTAATCTTGATGTCGCACAGTTGCTTCTGGAGGCGGGTGCTCGGACGGATTTGTGGGGCCTTGGGGGCCGCACAGCACTGATGGATGCTGCGCAGGGTGGTCACGATCCAGTGGTTCAGTTACTCCTTGAGGCCGGTGCTCAGGGGGATTTGCACGACAATGTGGGCTGTACCGCTCTGATCTACGCAGCAACGGAGGGTCATGTCCAGGTGGCGCAGTCGCTTTTGGATGCCCGGGCCCAGGTTTCTTTGCGCGACAGCTGCGACAGCACCGCACTGATGGAAGCCTCGAGCCATGGTCATGCTGAAGTCGTCGGGTTGCTCCTGGAGGCAGGTGCTCACAGGGATTCACAGGACAGTGACGGCAGTACGGCACTGATGCATGCCGCATACGGTGGTCATTTTCAAGTCGTGCAGTTGCTGCTGGAGGCCGGTGCTCAGAAGGATTTGCATGACAATCAGGGCATTACTGCACTCATGGATGCAGCACGTTGTGGCAAGACTGACATCATGAAGTTACTCCTGCAAGCTGGTGCTCAGCGGGACCTGAAGGACGATGCAGGCAAGACATCACTGATGCATGCCGCATCCCAGGGTTATTGTCGAGTCGTGCAGATACTTCTCGAGGCCGGGGCTCGGAAGGATTTGCGCGACCATGACGGCGAGACCGCGCTAATGCTGGCAGACGGGCTGCCAGAAGACCATGAAGTCAGACGCTTGCTGGAGGCCAGGGCTACCCAAAACTGCGCGGATCAACACTCCACATCGAAAACTTAACAGTTAGAGGAGGTTTATTTATGCTGGGGGGGGGGGGGTGTATATTTTAAAGAATGCTATCACTCTTCCTCCTGGGGGGGGGAGGGTGTGCGAGAGTCTAGAAGCCCTGAACCAATGAGAAGCAATGGTCCTTACAATTTACAATAGTGCTTTTTTCATATGGTCAAAAAGTAGTACGGCACTCTTATGGAAGAGGCCCTTGAACGGTATCCTTAATTTAGAGAACTAACTATAAAGATAATTTCACGGAAGTAGAAAGCCCCAGAAACATCCAAAAGCCCTGTAGCTAAGAACCATATGATGACCAAACCAAAAACTCATCACAAGTATTGATACTATATTACTGTTCGAATTGTTCAAGCCCTCTATATTGCTACAAGAAGCAGCAACCCTAAACCCTAGACCCTAGAAGCCCTAATCTTCAACCCTAAACAAGAAGTAGGTTGTTAGATTTCAGGATCAACCTGGAGCCCTCAACGTGTCTTCTTCACCAACGAACATCTTTCTCGAGCCGTGATGACTCTTGAACTCCAACCGAGGTATTAGGGTTTAGGGTTTAAGGTTTAGGGTTTAGGGTCCAGCCTGCATGTTATCTTGAGCACTTGCATGTGTTTTTTCTACTTAGGGTCTCTTGGCAGTGCATGTGTTTTCCGGCTGGGTTCTTTATAGGCTGACGAGATTCAATGCTTCCGGTGCGTAAAAGGGGTCACGGCTTCAAAAGGTCAAGTCTGCTAAGAGTCTCAGGAGCTAGGGTGGTTTAAAGGGGCCCAGAGGGCTTTAAAATCTCCGCGCTTTGGTGATTACACGTAGCTCATAAGTACTTACACGTAGCTCATCATAGTTTGGGTATGTTTGGGTTGTGGAGTTTGGGCAGTTCGGCCCTTCTACTCCTAAACCCTAAACCCTAAACCCCAAACCCCAAACCTTAAACCCTAGGGCCAGAGGTTTCGGGCCTGTCAGGAGGTCAACAGGTTTAGGCTTAGGGCCGAGGGCAGGTGAGACCGTGGCGTGCCGAACAGCCCGACTGCCGCTCCCCGTACTAGCTGTACATCGACTCCCAGAAAGTTGGAACTTGGAGTTAGGATGATTAGTGCTGGGATTCCCTAGAAGTTGCCTTAAGGGCATGAGGTGTTCCAACCTTCTGGCTTCTACTATAACCCTTAAACCCCCAAAGACAGGTACGCGAAGCCTCGCCTACTCAAGTTCTTTTGCAATCAAGAAGGCGCAGCTGGGAGCTTGCAGCTACGCTTCAGTTTCGGGCTCGGGCTGCCTGTATGTTTCATCGACGAACGTGTGTTGTTTAGGGTTTAGGGTTGCCCACTTGTTTTTGTTGGCAAATGGCTCTGCCGGCCTGGATGATTCCGTAAGCTTCATGCTAACACTACCCATCTGGGATGAATCAATTTTCTAGGGACAGGCACTTATATTGCCCCGAAGACTAAACCACAAATTCACAACGAGTCTTGGCTGTCTTGATACGGGGAAGTTTTGAATCTGCCGAAGCATGCGAACTCCGAAATCATGATCTTCTGTACCTTGAGACAGGTGTGCGATTTCGCTACCGCCTCACTAGCGCTGGATGATCAGAAATTACTTAAGGGGCCTCCGTATAGACAGTGTGTATTAGAGCCATCTTGTAATTGTAGGTACATGCAGGCACCCATATCATATCCAAAGCCCTAAACCCTAAACCCTAAACCCTTAAACCCCTAAACCCCTAAGCCCTAAACTACCTAAACCCCAAACCCGTAATGCTAAACCCCAAGCTTGATCCCGTTCGCCAGACCTTGACTTCAGCGACATCGAGGACACCGCCATATCAAATTCTTTTTATGGGTTTAGGGCTTAGGTATAGGATCCTAAATATATGTTATCGATAGTCTCCAGTCGAGTTTTTGTGTTTTGTGCTCAGGTATAGGATCCTGGGTATAAAGTTGGCTGGACCAGAAAAGCAATTAGAACCTTAGACTAGGTAGAATGTCTTCTTCCTCAAGCCACACATCCGATAAACCTGAGTTCCATCCAAAATGCCCAAAATGCCATCCTGCAGCTGCACCCTTGCGGCCCCAGCATCCAACTTACAACAATGTGGTCTGAAGGCTTCCTGCTAAGAGTATGCCAGAGGGATCCACAGGGCTTACCTAGAGCCCAAGGAACCTACCTTTTTAAGGGACTTTTATGAAGAATAAGGAACCCTAGAAAGGGAGGTTCAATAGCAGATTTGACCTCACACCCTTGACATCGGAGAGTTGGGCTCAGGGGTCTGAGGGCATATAGTCTTGTTTAGGCTAGCCCTAAACCCTAAACCCTATACCCTAAACCCTAGACCCTAGACCCCTTTAGAGGCTATGTCTTCAAGCCTCAAAGCGAGGAAGCCCCGGAAACCGTGACTTCCGGAACTATGAACGCAGGGTCTTACTTACAGCGAGGAGATACCTGCGACGGCGGAGAAAGTTGTGGAGGAGGATGCAACAGAGGCTCTTGACTTCGGGGTCTTCGAGCCGTCTGGGAGTAGGGCGCAGGGTTTAAGCATCACTCATCTTCCTTAGCAATCCCCCTAAAGCTGTGTTATAATGAGACTGTAGCATGCCCCGCCACCTCAGTCTAACTTCTCAAGTGCCTTAACTTAGGCCTTTTAGGCCATGTAATTACACTCCAAGCTTAAGGACTTAGGGTTTTTTCCCCCAAACAGTGTGGTACGCACTACGTCTATGGGATTCTATCGTTAGGTCCCGGAAAGCCAGTTTCATTGTAAATTGCAATACGATGGTCCCATTTTGGAGCCGTGCTCCTGCATCTGTCACTATTTGGGGAGGGCTCCGGCCGTGCTCCTCCCGCCAGAATTTCGAGGAAAGCAGTTCGGCCGTGGTGTGCTGTTGGTCTCTCGCTGGTCGCCGAAGTCTGGCTCGCATCCTGGTCGTTGCATGTCGTTGCTGCATCCTCGTGCTGTTGGTCCTCGCGGTCGGTGGTCGTGGTCATCATGGTCGTGGTGGTGTTCCGATCACTCTTTGGAGAGCTTCGCTGACATAAGCAAACATTATCACAGTGCCATGGACAGCTATTTTTCAGAGTTTGCGCTGCCTGCCCTAATGTCTGTGCATTGCGGGGTTTGTGTCTAGGGCCGCTTATTATTAAATCGTAGGCTTTGGCGTGTTGGCTTCATGGTTCAGGGTGTACCCATAGGCTCCTAAGTAGTTCCTTTTTATGGTTCATATTTAGAATCCTATAAGGTACTCCCAAAAAGGAACTGCTTTGGAGCCTATGGGTACTCATAGGCGTTGGAGTGTTGGGTTCATGGTTCAGGGTGTAGGGCCATCGGTCGCAGACTTTCGGGCCTACATTTTAGGGGTTTAGGGTTTAGGGTTTAGGTTTAGGGTTTAGGGTTTAGGGTTTAGGGTTTAGGAAGGGTGCTGTTGGTGCGTGTTATCGCCACAACATCTCCTAATTTTTGAGGGCTCTTGTGCCTGTCAATTGAACTTGGATTCCAGAAGCGCCCTAAACCCTAAACCCCTAAAGGGCCCTAAACCCTAAACCCTCAGCCCCTAAGAGGCCCTAAACCGGAAGCCCCTAAAAGGCCCTAAACCCCCTACCTGGTGCCCGACACTTCAGATCTCCAAAACGCTTCGCACCACCTTGTACCAGGGGCTTAGGGTTTGAGGGGAGTGCACCTTGCCCCAGGCAAAGATCACGTGTATCGGCCACAAGTTCCAACGGCGGGATGCTCAAATTTCGCTGCCTTTTCAGTGCTGGAACTTTAGGGTTTATCGGGCTTAGGCTCAGGCCCCCTGCAGAACCCGCATCCTCCGCCTTCCTCGCATGTCCTTGTGACATGTCACGCAGCGCCGCCTTTAGTCGGCATGACGATGCAAGGAGTGCCTAAGCGTAACGCTCCCGACGCTTGGCAACACACTCCAAACGTAGGGGCCAATAATTAGAATAGAGTTTGGGGCGGGGGGGGGGGTCCTTAGTATAATTATAGTATAATGCGCCCCAAAACCCTATTCTAATTATTAAGGCCTCTATACAACACAACTCCAATCCCACCGGAATGCTAAAGAAGTCATCTTCAGGTTGCTGCAGAGAGAGTCGCAGTAGCGGTGTCAATAGCCTCGATGCGGCTGCGGCTAGTAACGGCTAGTACTACTATCACCACTATATCTGCTGCTGATACTGCTATCTCATGCTACTCCTACTACCTATAATAGATTATAATAGTAGTAATATAAGTAACAAAGACAATGTCAAACACTGATAGAGGTAATGCTTTGTTTTTTGGGTGCCTTACATTTGTCAAGATTGGGCCTGGTAAGATGATGTTATATGACGCTATGCCCCACGTGATGTAGGGGCCGCAATAATTGCAGTTGGATTTCCGGGGATGTTCTATACTATAACACAGGAACTACAGATAATAATATTGCTAAATGGAGTTTTGCTGAGGCTGTCATCAATTCAAATCCTCGTCGAGGAGGCGATGGACCCGGAGGCTGCGCTTCCAGATATGTAGGGCTTAGGAAGCTTCGGGCTGAGACTTTAGCTAGACGAAGCTGAGGAAGCCAACCGCCAAAGCATGCCAGAACACTGCTGGCGAATCCTTGGCAAGAAGTGCATTTTATTGGGTTTAGGGCTTATAAGTTAACCCTAAACCCTAAACCATAAGTATGATCCTCTGCGGTGGATTGCTTCGCAGATGTCGGCACGAGGACGTTGCCATTGCTCAGGAAATTCAGGGTTTTGACCTCAGCGGCGCTTTTCTCCTCGGAACCCGGCTTTCAGGGCAAAACACTCTGCCGCATCGGTGCCGGTGGCATCTTAAAATAGAGTCATGTGTCAGACATACGCTCTGTCTCTCTCTCTCTCTATATATATATACATATATATA